ATTTTTTGGTGCCCAACGTGGGGCTCGAGGGTTTGAGATAACGACTGTTTTGAACAGATTATTTTAACAAATTGTGGTTCTATTGGTTTAATAGTTGCTGGTCACGATGTTGCTTCATTTCATTGTAGAGTTGTTAGTAGAACTGTGGGATATAAGTCCTTCCTTGCTCTTTGTTGCGGTTCTTATTAGCTATAAAAACATGGTTAAGGCTCTTATTTACTGTACTGTTTGGTAATGACTGCAAGAATAATCCAGTAGGTCCGGAGTATTTGGTACCTCTGTGCAGCTCCCTCCCTGCTTCACTGAACCATGGGAAGGAGACAGCACATAGGAGACTTTCAGAAGGGTTGGCTGGAGCCCATCAGGGCTGTCATTGTGGTGGTCCCTGCAGAAGAAGTCACAGTTGCATACCCTGTAGGTATGTTATGGAGAACCTGCTCATACAACCTGTCTCTGTTGGAGGCAGCACAGCTGCCTGGCAGCCAGAGCTCTTCACCCAAGGCAGCAGTGGTGGTGAAAAGCTTCCTGAATTGTCACATGGATAGGAATGGATATCTGCAGGGGCTTGTGAGCAGAAGGGTGTGAATGAATCAGCATGTTCGCTGTGACTCTGGCATCTTGGGGCTGAGGGTGCTGTCCCAGCACCATGGGCGTCCCAGATTAGAAAGGTGTGGAGGGAGCAATGTTGTTGCAGTACCGTGCTCCCTTTGGCATGCCTTTTCCAGCTGCAGAGACTCTGGAGCTGGTGGCTTTGTGACTCTCTGAATCTAGGCTCTCAACCATGTGAGCAAAGTGGTCATTTGTGGTCAAAAGCCACTTTTGGGTCCCTCACTCCAAGATGGACATGGAGGTGCTGGAGCGTGTCCAGAGAAGGGCAACGGAGCTGGGGAAGGGTCTGGAGCACAAGTGTGCTGAGTTCCCTTGTGGCTGAGGGAACTGGGGGTGTTGAGCCTGGAGAAAAGGAGGCTGAGGGGAGACCTTGTGGCTCTGTCCAAGTCCCTGAAAGGAGGAGGGAGAGAGGTGGGGGTGGGTCTGTTCAACCAAGGCCCAAGGGACAGGCCAAGAGGAAATGGCCTCATGTTGCACCAGGGGAGGTTGAGATTGGATGTGAGGAAGAATTTCTTTGCTGCAAGGGTTCTGAGGCATTGGAAGGGGTTGCCCAGGGCACTGGTGGAGTCCCCATCCCTGGAGGTATTTAAAAGATATGTAGATGTGGCACTTAGGACGTGGTGGTGGTGGACTTGGCAGTGTTAGGTTAACAGTTGGACTTGACAATCTTAAAGATCTTTTCCAACCCAAACAATTCTATGATTCTAAGAGTGGCTTTGCAATGACATCTGCCAGCTGCCCCAGCACTCATGGGTGTATCCCATCAGGGACCTAGACCTCGATAAAAAGGTGTTTCCTAGTCAAGAAAAATTGTCGTTGCCTGGCAAGATGTGAGTCCTAAAATCTGAGATCTCTGGTCGCTATTTTGAATTATCTCTGAGTGAACATCCAATGCCTGTGTTGCGGACTCACTGGCACAAGGTGCCCTGAAGAAAGATGGTCACAGATGGCACAGTGGTCTCCTGGATAGAGCAGAGGTTGCTTCTTGCAGAGGAAGAACCATTCAGGCAGAGTAAGGAATACCAAAATGTTTTCAGTAGGGATGATGCAAAAAAAAAAGAAAGTTGTGGGTGTTTTTTGCTGGTTTTTTTTTTTTTAAGGAGAGAATTTTCTCATTTAAACAGTTTCACAGAGACACAGAAAAAAAAATGCTGTCTGCTGCAGCTGTATGAAATCAGAAAGGATTTTGATTGTGAAAACACAGATGTTTATCCCCAAAATGTAGAAAAATTGCACTGCTTTAACATTTCTGAAGAAAATATTTGCTTTATCAGAAATGGTGTTTCAGAGAGGAGTGAAATGTCTCTTTTAGGTCAGTCAGCTGGAGGTCAATGAGAGGATAATAAAGCACAGAGAAGAGGACCTGGTTTTCCATGGTCATTGTTTTTTGACATGCCAACAAGCCAAAGGTGAAGGTATGTCTGCTTAGAACTTTGAAAATTCAACTGATTCACTGTGCTCCAGTACAAGCTTTTCACTGTGCTCCAGTATAACCTTGCATATATTGAATTGTAGAGGGTTTACCAAGTGTATTTGAGTTTGAAAAGCCTTACATTAAATGTGCAAGGAAGGACAAGAAGACTTTTTGCATTGCTGGGAGTGGTGGGGCATTACTACAACTGATTATATCTTACAGGACAATTTATCTGTGATTTATGGAATAAAAGATGTCTCTATATGACCCCTCCTAAATTTCTGTACATTATATACAAAAAGGTGACCTAATGGTAGACCCGTGCAACACAGTGATGCAGAGACAATTCCGTGCTCACTAGGAACAAAGTGTATTTTAAAATTCCTCCCCATCATTTTCTTCTTCAAATGAGTCAGTTCCTACTTCTTCATAGTCCTTCTCCAGGGCAGCCAGGTCCTCTCGGGCCTCTGCGAATTCTCCCTCCTCCATGCCTTCACCCACATACCAGTGCACAAAAGCTCTCTTGGCATACATCAGATCAAACTTGTGGTCAAGCCTTGCCCAAGCTTCTGCAATGGCTGTGGTATTGCTCAGCATACAGACTGCTCTCTGAACTTGGGCTAGATCTCCACCAGGAACTACTGTAGGAGGTTGATAGTTGATCCCAACCTGGAAACAAGAAGATGAGAGAAGGTTGTAAAAAGGCAAGAGCAGAAAACAGTCAAAGACCTGAAAAAAAAAAAGGAAAGGTGTGGATGCTGGGGTAGAGTGGTGCCACTATCAAACCTACCAGATGGCAAATGCCACAAAAAATCATAACATCATAAAGAGTTGACATGTCAGATAATACATGGTCATTTTAATGTCTCTATTGTTCTTCTCTTTAATGTACATGGCAACTTCATAGCTTTCTTAACAGCTACTCAACACTGAACATACAGTGTCCCCAAGATACTCCCTAGAAACCCATACAGAAAGTTGGTTCCCAGTTAAAAGCTTTCATTCTTAAACCAGCTCTTTGTGTGACAGATCTTTTTCCACTGCTGATGTCTCTATTATTATTGAAATGATGTTTCCCAACACTGCTACATAGCCAGTGGGGAGAGGTTGTATGTTATTTCTGGATGAGGGTGTTAACTGACAGACTCCCTAATATCAACATTTCCTTTGTTAATTGTATTGGTTTGGGAATTTCCTTAGTTTTAGATGGTGCTACGGAGAGAACACTCACTGGCTTTTTCAAAATTCAGGTCTCAAATGAATACTTCTTTAGATTTTAACCCATATACACTTCAGAATTCCACTTATGTAAATATTAGGAGTCTGTGTCAATGGGATGTCCAAAGGAGAAAAGGCATTATTCATACCAATGCATCTTTCTTATGTTTCTGACAAGTGGAAAACGTGCAAGATATAAAACTTGAAATACAAATTTTCTGCTAGACTGATCTGGCCCTTTAAACAAGAAAAAGAAGCTCGTGGCAGCCCTGTACTCACCTTGAAGCCTGTTGGACACCAGTCCACAAATTGGATAGTTCTCTTGGTCTTGATGGCAGCAATGGCTACGTTGACATCTTTGGGCACTACGTCACCACGGTAGAGCATGCAGCAGGCCATGTACTTCCCATGTCTTGGGTCACACTTCACCATCTGGTTGTTGGGCTCAAAGCAGGAGTTGGTGATTTCAGCCACTGAGAGCTGCTCGTGGTACGCTCTGTCCGAGGAGATGATGGGGGCGTAGGTCACTAAGGGGAAGTGGATACGTGGGTAGGGCACCAGGTTTGTCTGGAACTCTGTCAGATCCACATTGAGGGCACCATCGAAGCGCAGTGAGGCAGTAATGGATGAGACAATCTGGCTGATGAGACGGTTGAGGTTAGTGTAAGTGGGACGCTCGATGCCCAGGTTTCGGCGGCAGATATCATAAATTGCCTCATTATCCACCATGAAGGCACAGTCTGAGTGCTCCAGAGTGGTGTGTGTGGTCAAGATGGAATTGTAGGGCTCCACCACAGCGGTGGAGACCTGAGGGGCTGGGTAGATGGCAAACTCCAGTTTGGACTTCTTTCCATAATCCACAGAGAGGCGTTCCATCAGTAAGGAGGTGAAGCCAGAGCCGGTTCCTCCACCAAAACTGTGGAAGATGAGGAATCCTTGCAGCCCAGAACAGGCATCAGTCTAGAAAGCAAAAGAGAAAGTGAAAGAATGGGGGTTGAAGAAGAATGAGAAGACTTCATCTACTATGTGAGCTTATTCTGGGCTGAAGGTGGGAGCAGTCATCAGCCATACACAGCATAGCTTTCATGTCACATTTTCTTGAGGAAGGGCTGATGATAATCCTGTCCTTTGCTTCCTTCACTGCCTTAATTTATGACATAAAAATTGCACTCTTTATCTGTACAGCTTCTCTCTGAACTTCATGTCTTATAGTCTAGCTGATACCAGCAATGTAGAACTGAACTGCCTAATCCACCCTTCTGTATCACCATTGATGCTCCAGGGCTGGTCTAATAAAGAATTACATATTCAGAACCACTTTTTAAGACTGCCTGAAGACGTACAACTGGGTATAGAACTACTGTGCTTCTCTCTCTCGGATTGGTGGTGATGCCTCTGTATGTCTTGCAATCTCTTTTCTGAAACGTTGGTATCATCTGTAGTTAACAAGCTGCCTGTTCTGCACTTCTTTCTTCTGCAGAATCCAAACTGCTGTTTCCAAACTACTGGGACTTACCAGCTTACGGACACGATCCAGCACCATATCAATGCTTTCTTTGCCAATGGTGTAGTGGCCACGGGCATAGTTATTTGCTGCATCTTCTTTTCCAGTGATCAACTGTTCTGGATGGAAAAGTTCCCGGAAGATGCCAGCTCGCACTTCATCTGAAGAAGAAAGAGAAATTGTGAGAAACTGCATGGCTGTGCTCCAGTGCCAACAACTTCTGGTTGCTGTTGGCATTGTTGCAAGCTTTCAGTCACTGGAGGTCACGACCGCAAAAAATAGATGCTGATGGAGGAAGGAAAACTGTTTCCTAATCATTTTTAACTTGTTGCATTCTTTTCATTTATGGTGTGACTTGTATCCAGCCACAGAAGTTGTTATCTTCTCAAGAACTTGTGAGTTCTACAGCCCCTACCAACAAGAGAGAAGGTCACCAGAAAAAAAGTGTGAAGAAAATCAGCTTCCCTCAGGTGCCCCAGTTTTTAGAAATCCTCCTATTCTTGAAGGGAAACTGTCAGGTTCCTGTTTTGGATCTGAATCAGAGATGATCCGAGGGCTGGAGCACCTCTCCTATGAAGACAGGCTGAAAGAGTTGGGGCTGTTCAGCCTGGAGAAGAGAAGGCTCCAGGGAGATCTTATAGTGGCCTCCCAGTACCTGAAGGGGCTACAAGAAAGCTGGGGAAGGACTTTTCATAAGGGCAACTAATGACAGAACAAGGGGAAATGGGTTTAAGCTGAAAGAGGGGAGGTTTAGATGAGATATTAGGAAGAAGGTCTTCACTGTGAGGGTGGTGAGACACTGGAACAGGTTGCCCAAGGAAGTTGTGGATGCTCCTCCCTGGAAGTGTTGAAGGCCAGGCTGGATGAGGCTTTGAGCAACCTGGTCTAGTGGAAGGTGTCCCTGCTGCTGGCCGGGGGGTTGGAACTGGATGAGCTTTAAGGTCCCTTCCAACCCAAACCATTCTGTGATTCTATGATTCTATGAAAAGCAGAATTTGAGTGGCAAAAATATCACAATAAACAAAACCAAAAGTTAAATGTTGGTGCAAAGAGAAGTCATACAAACCATGTGTAGTAGCTGTTAAACTGCTGAGGATCCTCCTATGGTCCTGTGTTTATAACACCTATGGAGATAATTGAGTCTTGACAGAATCTAGCATTCCCTGTTACAGGAAAGTTAATTTTCTGCTATCTAGTGGTAGACCAAACTACAAAGGGTGTGCTGCTTTGTACCAGTGGAGACTGGTGGTACACCATGGTGATATTAGGAAGAGTAAGGTCTTCTCCATTTTCCAGGTTTATTTCTATACTGACCTACTACAGTTGGCTCCAAGTCCACCATCACAGCTCGTGGCACATGCTTCCCAGTGAGAGTTTCATTAAAAAATGTGGTAAAAGAGTCATCGTAGTTGAGTTTATCAGGCAGATCCTTGAAGGTGCCATCTGGCTGAATGCCATGCTCCAGGCAGAAGAGTTCCCAGCATGCATTTCCTATCTGAACTCCAGCCTGGCCAACATGAATAGAGATGCACTCACGCTAAGGGAGAGAACAGAGATGGGATCAGAAAAAAACACTGCATATTAGTCCTTATTCCTCATGTGAATTGGTGCTGTCAGCATTTCATTTGGTTGTTCAACCCCATGGCTGCAATGAGACTGTACATAGACACACCAGATACTGGGACAGTTCTTTAAAAAATTGAGATCTTTGTGCTCTAACATATGGGTACATAAAAACAGGCAGGAAAATAAAAACAATTTCAGTTACAGAAAACCCACCCTTCCTCCTATGGATTGGCTCTGCTGAGGAGCACATCCCAGTTGAGTTTATTTTTACTCCTGGCTGGAACCTGACACAGCCATGTGGTATCCTTCAACCTCATGTAACCCAAGACAGGTGATGTCTTTTGATCCTTTTACCCTCTGATAGCAGGCTGGAGTGGAAACTTGGAAGAACTGCTATTCACCTCAGGAAATTATTTCAGATTCTGTTGGTTGAAACAAATGTCCCTTCAAGCTCCTGAGCAGCTATGAATTTTACATTGCAGGTCCATTGCATATTCAGGCAGTGTCACTGTCAATATAATGTGTTTATTTGCATCATTTTGAGCATAGTTCCTGTGGTAGCCAGGGACTTCAGTGAAAAGAAAACAACATATGTAACATCAGGCTAAAATAGACAGGTGCCAATTGCTCCAAAATCCTTGGAGTACAGGAATATGAAGGACCTGGTGCTGGATTTTGTAAGTTCAGAAATAGAATTATAAAGAAAATATTTCTGAGTTAGTCCAGATGATTAGGACACCAGGTGTAGTGAAAGGCAGTTTGTAAGGAGAGAGTGGTTTCAGGCACGTGGAGTTTTTCAGCTTCAGTTTCTGCTTTGGAGCAATTGTCATTACAGTCTTCTGAGCTCCATCATCATGATCTCAGTGGCCCTGACTATACTAGGGGGTAAGAAAGAGCCAAGGAGTAGTACTGAGCTCTGGCCTGCCATCACCTCTGCTGATGGATAATTAGCACACTCTCTGGCACAGGTTTGGCTTCATATTTTTCCAGACAAAGCCTGGGCACCATCCAGAATACAACTTAGTGTCAAGAATAGTTTCTAGTGAGCAGCTCGCTGACCACTGCCTGAATTCAGATGCCTAAATATGAAGTAGGCCACGCTACCCTGGTCCTTACTCATTTTTGTACTATCTCATTTAGAGAGATCCAATAACAATATCAGATTTGGCCAGTTAACCTTTTTTAAAAAATAATAATAAAAAATTCTGTAACTGCTTACCCTGCAAAATAACCCCATGACCTGCAAGTGAAATGCATCTTCCCCAAAAACTAACTCCTCAGGCAGAATGTGTGACGAGCAGCGTCTCTGGAGCAGTGTTTTCTTCACAAATGGAATTCAGATGCCTAAATATGAAGTAGGCCACGCTACCCTGGTCCTTACTCATTTTTGTACTATCTCATTTAGAGAGATCCAATAACAATATCAGATTTGGCCAGTTAACCTTTTTTTAAAAATAATAATAAAAAATTCTGTAACTGCTTACCCTGCAAAATAACCCCATGACCTGCAAGTGAAATGCATCTTCCCCAAAAACTAACTCCTCAGGCAGAATGTGTGACGAGCAGCGTCTCTGGAGCAGTGTTTTCTTCACAACTGACATATATTGTTTCAGAAACACAACTAAAGGTATTTTTTTAGAAGCAAGTGGAATTTTAGAAGTCACCTCTGCCCCAGCTAGTCATCCTCAGGAGTTCAAATTAATACAGAAAGGCAATTTAAATGTTTAATTCCATGACTTGCGTTGTATCTATTTAGTACTCGTGTGTAAGTTGCTGATCCTGCAATGCATATCCAGCAGTGCGTGTAACATGCTTTCGGGTACTTGTGTAATAAGTATGTCACCCATATCTTAATAAATTACATTTTAAATTTATAATTGGACTCTGTGTCTAAATTGACTATTACACTTGCACAACCCTGGTGTTCTCACTTGAGTTGTGCAAAAGCATCGGAGTTATTTGAGTGACGGTGTGTTGCAGTGGAGTTGCAATCTGGAGGATTAACTCAGGAGACAGTGAAGGCATATTTGGGTTTAGAGAACTCAATTAATGCTGATTTTGTACAGGACAGGCTCCTGCTTTTCTTTTAAATCCCAATGTGAATCTGTAAGCCTGGTAGCAAGGGGAAGAAAAACTTTTAGACACAGCAATGAGGACAGGAGACTATTTTAAATAATATCTTTGAGAGCAAAGCTGTAATGACAATTTAAGCAATACTTGGAACCTAAAGAGCTGCTTCGCTCCGTTCCTCAGGTTGAGGACAGGAGACTATTTTAAATAATATCTTTGAAGCTGTAATGACAAGTTAAGCAATACTTGGAGCCTAAAGAGCTGCTTCGCTCCGTTCCTCACATTGGTAGAGGAATTGGTCTGTTTTTCACAGATGGAACTAGTGAATATCGCCTTAGAAAGTTCATATTGTAAAGTTTAGTGGAGGACTGTAGCTGAAAACTGCAGAGCTGGTTCCTTTCCTTTTAGCCTGGGCGCAGTATCTCAACCCTGCCTTTTGAGCCAGGCCTCTTGCTGCGACTCCAGCCCCCAACTCCCATCTTCTCCTACCCCAGCAGTAATCTGGAAATATTCTGACAAGCGAGAAGGCAATAACAGATTTCTAATTTTGCATGGTAAACAGCTTTAAAATAGATATCAGACTTTTTTAACAGGGAAGAGAGTGGGCCTTCTTCAGAGTCACAGGCAGAGTAAACTGATCTCTACATGGTATTTAAATTTGGAGCTTACTTCAAACTCATGTTTCACATCCCATCACTAATGTACCAGGACCTGTCTTACAAACTGTAGGCCTGACCTTTTATTTATCAAGAGACAGTAGAAAGGGCCAGGTCCTTTGTGAAACAAAACCTGGACAGCTTTGATTCTGTTAAAAAAAACAGAATACTACCTGGCTTAAGTATTTACTGTACAAAGGCAGACTTTAATCTTCAGATATTAATCTTCAGATATTAATCTTCAGATATATAATCTTCAGATTTAATCTTCAGCTATCCCAAAACATTCTCACTACCCATGGACTGCCTGAAGGCAGGGAACCCTGTGGACTTGTGTTAATTACCTGCAAAATAAGTGTTCTCTTTTTGGACCTGCAGTTGTACCAGCAGAAAATATCATTGTTCTCTGCACCAAAATAAGACTCAGTGCTAGACATAAGTTGGGGTACAAGGTGAAACGGATTCTTCACATTCTAAGAGGTTTTGAGAGTTTTCTACAAATATATAGTGAAACTCCAATACTTAAAAATGAAGGGCCTTTTTTACTTACTTAAACACATACACATTCATGCACCCCAAAAACACACACGTATATACTGTGTAACTATGAACAGTACTGGGCCTAAATTAATTTAATTTAATTAATTTAATTAAATTAATTTAAAAGAGAACTAAAGGTAAGTAACTTTTTTGGTTTATTTCTAAAAATGTATTAATCTCATGTGAAAATGAATCATTGTTGAGCAGGTATAGTCACAACAGAGACTACTAAAAAACTAAGACTCCGGATCTAATTTAGCTCATAATTCCACTAATTAGAAACCCTTTGGAGAAAACTTTGGTTCACAGTGCCTCACAGCTCCAGTGAGATTTTCTGACACTCCTTTCCCGTCCTCCTACGTGGTAACCGGTGCGTGAGATCAGGGATTTTGTGGCATAAACCGCTGGTAACAACAGCAGATCCTCCTGCCTTCCCTCTCCCACGGTCCTCCCGCTCCCTGTGTGACTGATGTTCCCACATCCCCCCTTACCATGGTGTCTCCAGTGATGTTCCCTTCCCTTTCAGATCAGCGGTGGTGGATTTCTGCAGGAGCCCAGCTCTGGGCTGCAGGGTTGGGGACAGCCTGGGCCCAGCACCAGGCACCTGCTGCTGCGCTTCAGTGTCACCGTGCGATGGGGAACGGGTCACAGACTCTGCAGTTCTGCCCGCCACATCCCTGCCTCCTGCCCTCCCTGCACCCCACGTGTGCAAATCCATCCAGACAGGCAGGGCTCAGACATACCCTGGATTTCAAATTTAGTCCCGCCTGCTTTGGCACACTAATTAAATCTGAGCGTGGCGGCGTAACGTGCCGTACACTGTCCTCTCTAACACCTGAGTGTATATATTATATATCACCTACCAGACACATACCATCCCAATTCCCTGTTCTGCCAGCACTTACATGTGTAGATGAAAATAACTCCTAAATTCCAATACAGAACAGCAAGAGGGTGTAAGAAAACAAAGGAATAAAAAAGAGAAGGATAGAAGAAAAATCAAAAATAGAGAGCTGGAAAGTAAATATAATTACCATTCTGAAGTGTGCTCTACCAGGGCTCTTCAATCATAGAATCATCATAGAATGGTTTGGGTTGGAAGGAACCTTAAAGATCATCCAGTTCCAACCCCCCTGCCAGCAGCAGGGACACCTTCCACTAGACCAGGTTGCTGCCCTGACTTCTTTCTGTCCTCACTCCAGCTGCCTCCCTGTTAATATTTCAATTTACTTCTGTTGCTTCCCTTTCTGTGTAGTCATCTGTGCTGTCAGCAATTCGGGGCAGTCAGCAGTCAGTACAGACTTGAACTCGTCTGTCCAAACACAGAAAGAAATTTGATTCTTATTGCCAGTACTTATTGCAAGAAATAGCTGGAGGCATCACACAAATGTTCTCACACGAAATTAGGGCCGTTGCCTCCTCCACCATTTTATTGTTTGCTCCTTCTGCACCAGCTCAGCATTGGAAAGCAGCAGCTTCTCTCAGTGGAGAAGTCCTCGTGTTTGCAACGCCTAGGTAACAAAGAGGAAGGCACGTTTAATTGCTTGAAGCTGATTACAGTGTATCCTCAGACTTTAGAAACGTATTATTCATTATGATGTTTAATCAGTAGAAATTTAAATACACAATTCCTAAATTTTAGGTTAGTCTACTCTGACATGATTATATTAATAGATTGTTCTGCAATGGTTGCCAGTCAGTATCTAAGGATCTTCTCCTTTAACTAACACCTGTATTTTAACAGTGTGAAGTAGTTCATACTGTTCTTTATAAACTCACATTTACTTTGGCATAGTCTTCATTTTGCCAATCTTTACATAAACCTGCAAATTGCTGCTCTTTGATTTTGGCTAGGAAAAGCTACAAATATTTTTTATAGAGGAAGAATTCCCAGGATCATTTCTGTCTGCTGCTTTCTTCAAGCCGAGTCCCACACTTCAGAAAACCCTGAGGTCATTGCTGTGAGGCTGAGGTCGTTCCAGTGTTCTCCTTCCAGTGGAACTGGTAACATTACAGCCAAGCTCTGGTGTAACAGACAATCTGAAATGTTAAAGCTCATGGCTCCACCAGATGTGGAGCTCTGTGCAGAGAAGCACCTCAGGAATAAGTCTCACAGCAAATTCTTAGAGCAGGCCACCACCCAAATCCTCTTATGCACCCTTTGAGAGAACATCTCAGATCTAGCAGCTCCAAACCATGAAAGAGCTCTGTGAATTACTAAATTATGTGCTACTTAGTCCATTGCTGCATTTTCTCTGCTCTTCCATTGCCCCCCTCCTCTCTTCTGAAA